ATATTTTACAAATTCTTTTTTTTTCAGTTTTAACAAAAAAGAAATTTTCAGTTTTTACAAAGTATATGCTTTAAAAAATTGAATTTTAAAACGGGTCGGGTGGTGGATTTTTTAAAACGGATCGGGTAAAAAAAAGAAATGGGTCGTTTTCATCTGGTGCTGACACGTGGCACTTCATCCAAAATAAGAGTATATTTGTTCCAAAGTATGACGGGAAGGGTATATATAGCCCAATAGTATAACAAGGGGTATTCTTAAACCATTTTCGAAAGTACAGGGGTATATTTGGCCCTTTGCCGTTTAAACTCCATTACTCATAGATGGGCATCCTTATCCATAGGGTCTCAAAGAATCAAAATGTGATTCTTTTGGACTCAAAGAATAAAAATATGCGAAAAACATACATAGTGACCAAAGTATATATAGCGTCTTTTTAAAAGACGCTATACCTTAATGGCCGTTTGGTCAGTTGAGTATAGCGTCTTTCACAAAGTATATATAGCGCTTTTTACTAAGACTTTATATGTATTATGTGGGGCCACAAATAATTCTTCTGGCTTAACTGACATAACAATAATTCAACTGGATATAACGTCTTAAGCTAAGACGTTATACCTCAAATAATTCACCCCCCCGGACTGGTTTTTACCTTAAGGACGTTAAGGATTTTGAAAAAAATCATTCAGAAATACTCTCAAGTGTTGTGAAATTTTTCTTTGTTAAGTTGTTTTGCATTTTGTCATAATGTCTGAAGAGCGAAGAATTAGGATTTCATTATATTGGGGGGTGAGGTTGTGGTGGCGAATAACTCAGTAAGCTATAGTTTATCTCCACAGTCTCATGTTAAGCTACCACTTACAATGGTGTACGATACATTGGTATCGTTGTTATGTAAAAAAAATGAGTGTGAGCAAACGTTCGGTGAATCTTAAAATAACCGGAAGATATCCTTATTCTGTGACTCCGCAAGGGGTTGCTTGTTATGCTGAATTTAACATCGAAGACGATGAAACTCTGAGAGATTTTTTGAGGACTCCGGATGAATACCAGGAATTTATTGTGATAAAAATATTGGAAATGTACGTCAAGGCTGAAGATATTCGCAATAATGTGGTTGCACAAAGTAGGGAAATTCCTCAATCATCGGGTGGTTATTTAGGAGCAATTTTAGCCGAACAGGTTCCGGCTGAAAGAGTTTGGCCGGATCTAAACTTATCTCCACGGGCGAATGAGGAGCGAGAAAATAATTTCTCCCCTAGTATACATAATCCACAAGCAGAGTGGTAAACTTCAATTTTTCTACTGTGTTACGATATATATTTTTGTGTATTGTATTTGTATTAACACTCATATATTCCACAGGGGGTACCGGCCAGATATGAATTTTATAAGTTATGAACCAACGGTCAGTTAGAATATACCGAGTTTTGGTGTGTTGGATCATGGTGGTCCATCCGGGAGTCAGCATCAACAAGATAATGTGCATCATGGGATATCAATACATTATGATTTGTAAGTGAATATATAAAATTATATATATTGTTTGGACCAATTTGAGTAACTCATTATTTCTTTAGTTGTGCAGTGAAAACGAGCAACTTGATGGTCATGTCCTTACTCAATTGCCCGAAGACGATGTATTTAATCGGGATCTGGTAGATACGCAGAGTCAGGAAGAGAATAGTGATTATGACAACAATGCCGATGAGTCTGGAGATGACACACCCTTCCCTGACGAGGGTGATGTTGAGGAGGAAGAGAATGCCGAACCTGATTTGACGAGGGAGCATGATCTACCTCCCGTTAGACCAAGAGTATAGTGTTGCTGCATACTTAAACACCTATAGTGGGCAGTTGCATCCAGTGGGTGCTGAGCATTATTGGCCGCTGGAACCATTTAAAATGGTGTGTAACAAGGAGTATTTGCGTAAGCTACAAGTGCAAAAAAGAACGCGTATACGGAACCAAATGGATGTTGGTGATACCGTTTATGCGTGTAAATATGGCATATGCTCGCAAATAGGACACGGCCATCGTAAATATCCTCCAGCTGGTTTGGGTGTCGGTGGTAATCCTACTCCTGGTGGAAGTTCATCTAATGTGCCCAACAATCAAAGATACACGTAGTGTTTTTTTTTGTTATGTGGTTGTAATAAGTGTATGTACTTGTTTATCTTGCCGAATGTATGAAATTAAATTATGTTTTCATTGCTGTTAAATCTTTTTGATATTTAACATTAATACTTCAGTACATCAATCTAACATAAATCCATTAAAAAAAACAACCTTTGAAAACAATCTTTTTGATATTTAATATTAATACACGTAGTGGTATTTTCTTAATGGATATTGTAATGTTTATTCAAATGGTCTTTGAAATACATATGACTTGGTTTAGTTTAAGAAGCTTTATTATTGTACCGTAAATAATCATTAGCACGCGAAGCATAGCGCGGTTACATACTACGTTATATGTATTGTCTTGTCAACCTGATAAAGTTGTCGTTTTGAAAAAGTTGTCTTCTGGAAAAGCATTATTGTACCGTAAAGAATTATTAACATACGGAGCATAGCATAGCGCGGTTACATACCACGTTATGTGTATTGTCTAGTCAACCTGATAAAGCTGCCCTTCTGGAAAAGTTGTCTTATAGAAAAATATTATTGTACCGTAAAGAATCATTAGCACGCGAAGCATAGCGCGATTACATACCACGTTATGTGTTTTTCTTGCCTATAAATGACTAGCGCATTTTAGTTATTATCTGCGCTTAACCAAAACAAATAGCAAAACTTTCCATAAATTTTTTATTTTTCTTGCATTGACAAATATCTGGACGCAATGACCAACCAAGGTGTTATTGTGGAAAACATGCGATTATGAAGGCATGTTGGTCCGATGGTAATGTTGGGCGTAGATACTGGAAGTGTCTATACAGGTTTGGAGGCGATGGCGGAAATCATTGTATGTTTGAGGAATGGTATGATGAACCCATTAACCAAGAATACTACAAATCAATTTTGCAGTATGTTTGAAATATGAACGTTGAATACCAACGCCAGATCTCTGAAATGCAACAAGAAATTGTGGCACTGCAGGAGAAACTAAAAGAGGCGGAAGAAGAAAAAAATAAAATTGAAGAGAAATTTAAGTGGTTGGAGCAGAGGGTAATGAGCGGTAGTGACTAAACAAACACATGTGTGTGTTGAGTGTGGTATTTTATCTTTGTGTTTTTCGTGTCATATATTTTTATTAGTTGTATCGAATTTACATTATGTTAAGTTGCTATGTTTATTTTGCCCAGTTTTATTATTAAAATAACAAAGAAACCGAGAAATAATAACATAATGCGCATATAATGCTAAACCATAGATAAGGTTGCTATTATTTACTGATTGTCATATGTACATAAAATTTTAAAAAATCAATGTGTCCCACAACCTTTATGCTTTAATGCAGCCGCTGGCCTGAGGCGCATCCCATTCCGCCTGGCTACACTATCAGGATCATCCTCATCACGTCGCCTCTTTATCGGAGGATGCGATGCATCATGATCGTCAGTAAGGCTGGCAGGCTCGGTAGAAGGGGTCGTCGATCCAACAGTAACCTACAAAATAATGAGATATTTTAGTATATAAAATATATATTAGTAATGTACGTGTTAGCTAAAAAAAATTAAAATATCTTACCATGGTCTCAGCGGCCTCCTCACTATAATCATCTGTCTCAAGTGTGTCCGTGACGGGCGAGGAAGATGGCTTCAAAGAAAACAATAGGCTTTAGATATTTATGACTAATCAATGATATAAACACAAATATAAATAATTGTAATACAAACTAACCAAATCCTGTGAAAGATCCTTAGCATCCCTCGATGATGAGCCATAACTCAGTCGGCGCCCATTATCCATATCTCGTGGGCGACGAACAACAGCAACAGGCGATGCCTCTGGAGGGTCAGGAAAATACGGATCCCAGTCATGTGAGGTAAAGGTCGTGCCCGCGATCAATGGAGTTGACGGGGTCCCTGGAGTAAGCCCCAGGCTAAATGACGGGATATCACTAGGAGCTGACTGTGGCTCAGGGTGGTCACCTGGCTGATCAACTCCAACATCCTCAACAGGTACCTCAACGCCCCCTTGCTGGGGACCACCTCCACGACCTTGTGGGACACCCCTACCTCGTATGGCACCCCTGCCACGTCGACCACGTGCAGGCTGTACTGCTGGCCCACGATGGTACTGCTCTGGCGCCATATAATCAGCCTCTTGTCCTAAGCGCTCATCATTCCGGGCACGCTACAATGTCCGGGCAGCCAAATCTGTAACCTGCCGGCCATAGTCGTACAAAGCGGCCGCTCCCTCGCCGGTATGCTGCTGCATCTGCAGTCCCAACTGGTGGAACAGATGTATGCCAATAACCTGCACAACATGTAAAATATTAATTGCGAAACAGTAATGTTAACGTTATAACTAAGTATACCAAAAAACATACCAGCACCTCATGTCTTCCGGTGTATGGAATGAACCGACCGCCAACTCGATGAACGGGATTCCCGACGAAAAGTCAGGTAATGCTGCGGTACCAGCCCATATACGCATGCTCACCATCCATAAGATCAGGTGGAGGGGTGGAGGAATCAGGTCAGACCGTTGGTCCCAAGTCTCAATCTGCAACTCTAGCCATACCTCATGTGCCTGGTCAACCCTCGAACGATCATCCCGCTGGTAATGTGTCATAAGCCAAGCGGGCGGTAGAGGTACAAGCTGCGGTCGACCAAACTGGCGAAGGACTCGCTCGGTGGCATGATGCTCGACAATATCGAGACACATCAATGGGACGAAAGAGCTCTAGATAAGTCGCCTGGTCGAGAAATAATCGGGCAAACTAGCTATTAGCATGTCGTTGTATGGACTCCAAATGAACTATTACGTAAAAACAGGAATTGTGAGTATACGCAACACATATGAATCCAGGCCAAGTAAACTTAAGTATAGAATTACATGCGCATCCTTCAGCAAATCCAACAAATCCCTGCAATAGGGGAGATTATGTCGAGCCTCGTACTCGCGTCTGTATCCCCGCCTATCAACCCACCTCCTAGCCAAAAGGAGAAACGGTAAAGGTGGTGCATCCTGAGCTATGGGTGGTAGAGGTTGCTGAAACTGTAGGAACCGCTCCCAGGCCCAAACCTAATATACAATTTGGACGTAAAATTTAAGGTATATTTTAATGATGTATGTTATAATGAAGAGAGTATTTGACTATGTTTTCACCTGCAGCAGCGGCATAAATCCTTCAACATCTCGCTGGGTGCCCATGCATGCCCGGCACATCTGCCTGTACAAGTAGCCAAGAACAGCATCACCCCAGTTGTACTGATGTAAATCATCTAGCCGCTCAAGATGATGAAGAAATCTCAAGTTGACTAGGTTTTCCGAACTATTCGGGAACAATACGCCTCCAAACATAAGCAGCAGCAGCAACCTCGTGTACCGGTTAATATGAAGATTTGGTGTATCATGAGTAATGTCATCATGCATGGCCTCCAAATGCAGTCGGACGGGCGTCAACGTAAGACGATTAACCCCAACCAATACACCCTCATCCTCTGGCCGGAAACCGGTGAGCCGCTGTAACATCTCTAGGTACTGATATCCCATATAATCTCTCATGGCATGCGGCAAAACAACCGGAAGTCCATCTACCAGCAGATACCACTAAAGGGTAATATGTTTTACTACGCTAAAAGGTCACTACATTACAAATACGAGAACTACATTAGGCCACAAGATACCACTACATGGAACTAAAGTAACAATTTATCTAGTTTACTAGTTTTTTAGCAAATAAATAATCTAACCCGGATAAAATTAATAAATTAATTTAATCACAAAATAATCACGAAAATACATATACCACAATAAAAAGTAACTAATTAATATTTTTTTTTAACAACTAATAACAATTTCTCTATTTTACGAATTGTTTTAGCACACTAAAACTTATAGCCCGGATAAAAAATAACAAATTAGTTAAAACGCAAAACAATTACAAAATAACATAGAGCATATAAAAAACAACTAATATGCATTTTTTTATATAAGTTTTAACAAAAACTAAGTCGGAATACCTCGATTTAAGGTTTTTAGAAAGTCGAAGATTTTGTGATTTGGAGTTGAAACAAGCAACAATGTCCGAGATAACGCCTTAGCTAGCACGTGGGATAGAGAATCTTTACTTTTTGTAGGACGGGTGGGCTCCACACAAGTTTTTTTGATTAAAAATGGAGGGGGGGACCGTTTTGATTTTTTTTTTT